TTATTGCATTCCCAAAACGAGGCAATGGTACTTTCAAGGGTGTGGTGGGAGCACCACATGTTGAGGAAACGAAAGGGTTTAGGGCCCAGGAAATTATCCAAAATACAGTTTAGTAAAAGAGGCCTATGGTCAGAGGCTCCCTTGCTAAGCATTGTCAAATTGGTGGAAGTAAATGTATCAATCATAGATTGGTTACCAAGGATATGATCAAGACGTCTCCATACTTTCCCATTGCTTCTTTTCCCGCTCCATGAATAGTGGCCCCCTGAAGGATGGATATAAAAAAGGTTGGTGGATTCTGCACATTCCTTGAATTCATCAATAGACCTGTAGCAAGGTTCAGAATTGCCCTTATGTTCATCCACGCTGTGAATGCAGTTGAAGTCCCCTCCAACAATCCAATGATCTGATCCAGTATGCCAAGATGATATGGAAGACCAAAGAGGTTCCCGGTCTGCCCTGGTGTGTCTTCCATAAACAGAGGAGATCCAAAGTGATCCCTGTGTTTCTGAGGATGAAAACTGGCAGTGGACAACTTGAGGATGTTCAACTACCTGTAACAGAGTGAGAGTAGGCTCTTTCCACATGATCCAGAGCTGCTTATTAAGATGAGAGGATGCCTTAGTCATTCCAAACTGCCTTTTGAAGGTGTCTAAATGAGAATCATCAAGAAGTGGTTCCATAAAAGCTAAAAAGGAGGGTTTATGAGCTGCACAGAGAGTTTGGATTCTTGGGGAGGACTTACGAACACCTCGAATATTCCAAAAGATCAAGATCATTAATAGAAGGAGTGAAGAGTTCTAGCTTTGCTCCTCAGAGTCATGCTAAGAGGAGCCATAAGGGTTTTTTTTCCTCTACCCTTCATGAAGGATAAAGCATTCTCTTTGAACTGTGTGAATTTTCCCTCAAGAGCAGCTATGGGGCTTTTATCCAGAAGCCTTTCCCCTTCCCCATCTGAGTGAATACACACCGGAGTGCCCGGGCTATTGTTCTCAACCACAGTAGATAGGAGAGCTAATGAATCAATGGTGGATGTGTGTTCGTTGGAAGCTACTGCCACCTTGACCATAGTGGAGGGGGGACATGGATGCTTGGACAAGGGGGCTGCATCTTGTACGAAGTGCATGTCCCCAACCAAACAATTTGAGCTAGGTGCCTCACATGGACTTCGGGACCTTGATCTGCTAGATACCAAGGGTTTCAAAGAAGTGGGGACAGTAGTATAGTGAAGTGTAGTAGGTTGGCTGTCCTCCGTGTTTGGCAATATGGAGCAAGTGGCCACCCATGTTGGCTCTTTGTTGGTTGTCCTTTTGTGACTTGTTCTTTCCTTCTTACTCTGAACCCTGATCCAATCCTGACTGGATTTTGGATGGCTCTTGGTGGACTGAAGCCTCTCATTGGATGTCCTGCCGGCGAGGACTTTTCCGGCGGGCTTTGAGATTGGTTTGCAGAAGTGACCCTTCCGCTTACAGCAATTGCAGTATAAGGGGAGGTCATACAGAAGCTCCACCGTTCTTTCCCAAGTGCTTATTCGAATCAGGATAGAGGAACGTTTGGGTTTAGAAACATCCAACTCCAAAAGGATCCTAGCCGTCTGGAAGTACCCACCACGAGCTGTGGTATCATCCATCTGGATTGGGGTTCCAAGTGCACTGGCTATGGAGAATAGGGTGCTATTGTCAGAAAGGAAGAAAGGAAGCCTTTTGAATGTAACCCAAACCAGAGATATGGGGCTGTCATTCCTTTCATCTATACTTGGATCCCATTTGGAGAGATTGAGTGTGCAGCCATTCGTTTTCCAGAAATTTCTGGATAGTAAGCGAATGAATTCGCTACGCAAATTGAGATTGATGATAACCTGAGATTTGCTGATGGCAGTGATGCGAAAACCTCCTTTGAACCCTCCCTTCTTCAGTGATAACCCGATGTCTTCCGGAGAGAGTGCTCCATTGAAACTGGCTTTGATAGCATGAGGGAAAATCTCCCTTAATTTGGAGATGTCCTCATTGTTAAGCTCAATCACCGGGTCTCCATGTTTGGACAGCGAGACCTTGCCCAACTACTGTGTGGCCTTAGTTTTGAAGAGATCTGAACAATTTCAGTGGCCTGCCGGTGGTCTTCGCCGGAAAATCCTCTCTCTCTCCTGCCATGATATATATATATATATATATATATATATATATATATATATATATATATATATATATATATATATATATATATATATATATATATATATATATGTAGTGCGGAAAATATATACTCCCTCTATCCCACTTGAAACTTCTCAATTTGACTTGGCACGGTTTTTAATGTAATGCTAAAATTGCTTTGACTTTCCACATTTGCCCTTTTGTTTTTTATTCTTCCAACCCCACATCACCTCTGCAAAGTTTCATTCTCAAACCCACCCACCCCCGAAACCCACCGACTCCATTCTTGCCATCTCCGTTTTTGAAGAGATTGGGCTCAAAATCAATAGCTAATGAAATTGAAAAAAACAATTAAGAGATGAGGTGAGATCTATTTTAAATCCGCCATGGTCGTTGGGACTGTCATCCCCTCATCGCCCGAAAGCTTTTCCGTTAGCGCCGCCACCTGATCGTGAAAGCTTTGTCCGAGGAAGAAGGTGAATGGGATCCAGATCTGTAGGTTTTCTAGCTAGATATTGCTAAAAAAGGAAATTAAAACCATTTCACAGTGAAAGGACGGACTGGATTTAGTGCCCGGATGATGGAGGAACGAACTTCTATATCAGAATCCTTTGAGCCGCTACATGTGCACCACCGCCTGGGGCCGACGCCGGCGAAGAAAAA